AATCTGTAAGATTAATTTAATAACTAACCTTCAATAATAATAAAATAGTTAAGTTGAACAATATTTAATTCTATAAAATATGAAATTCTAATAATGAAAAAGCTGAATCATTAATAAAAAAGAATTCTTTTTTTAATAGTTTTCATTTAAATTGAGAAAAAATTCATGAAAATAAATGTGAATAAGTCACTAGTTGTATTTTATTGATATTGATAGTTATTACTGATCAACGACAATATATTTATTTGTTCGAGGAGAAAATAGTTTTAGTTGTTCACATTAAATCATTAGGAATTAACAATTCGAAATCTATACAATTCCGATTGAAAATAACACAAAATTTTTAATAAAATATATTTTCATTGATAAATATATATGAAGAATAGATCAAAAATAATAATAATCGGATTGTTTTCATTAATTATCTTTTTAAATTAACTTTATCTAATATAGTTGTTTTAATCAACATATTCAACAATGAACTTTTTTACAAATAAATAAATTAACTTTTAGAATATATATACATTCCATAACATTGATCTACAAGACTAATTTATATCGTGGTCATTATTTATAGAATGAACTCTTTCAATTGTAATAAATTCTTAAGTTAGCTCAATTTATAGACAGAGATCTCTATCCAGGAGTTTTTGATAGGATAAGGGATCAATTCTTGTTGTTGAAATTGTAACAATTATCAGTTGATTATTATTGTTAGATGTTTTCAATTTAACTACTTTTGAATCTCTTTTTTCATATAATATATGACTAATTTACTTGTTATATTTACTATTATTAAATTTTCAAATTATTTCTCGATAACAGAAGACTGAAATGTTTTGTCAGTTATTTTGTTCAATCAAGATCTTTTATTTTGCAAAATTTCATCTCTCTATATGTAATGGGTGATGCAAAAGTTCTTGCATAAATGTTCATTCATTTTTATCTACAAAAAAAGACTTCGGAATAATAATAAAAAAACCGTATTCAGAATCTACATTGAATGAGCTGTTTAATTATGTGTTCAAAATATTTTTTTATCATATAATCTGTTTGAGTAAAAAGCATATATTTGAGTCTGTAGATTACTAAAATGTACTGAGGATATAGGGAACATGAAACAACACAACACAAAACAAAACAAATATTTGCCTATAAAAATGGTAAGAGATGTACGTTTTTATTTTTTCAACGCTATTCTAAACGATTTCATGATGTTTTATGCCTGGCTTGTAGATAACTAAACAGAGAATTTAATGAGAACAGAAGCAAGAAAATCTGATGGAAGGAACAGGAGAAAATATAACAATATTGAAGTTTTCTTTTTTCTTTGCAGACTACATTTTCATGCTTTTGAAAGATATGTTTCTTACTCAAAAGCAAGGCATAATAGTGATTTTTTTAAACACACAGGTCGAAAGCTGTTTCAACACAGATTCTAAATAGCTATTTTTAATTTTCTGAAACATGTTATACTAGATGAAAAGTAGAAACATATTTGTGCAAGAACTTTTCCATCACCTGTTATTCAATCTACATTAACGAGAGTGAGTCAGATTAAATTGTCGATTTTTCTCAATTATATCTATGAGCAATCATTTAACTATATTTGAAAACAAATAATTCTATTAGAGATAGAGAGCAGATCAATTTCAACATTTCTATATAGAAAACTAATTTAATGTAAAATATTTTCTCTTTGAATATATCTAAAATATAAGATGAATTAAAATTAACATTGCTAACTAATCTATTTTTTTTAACTACAATAAATAAAACTTTTTTCAATTTCTCTTTGTAACAGTTGATTATTACAATTTTATTATCTAACAAAAATCATTGAACTACAACGTCATAAACACGATCACTTAACATGGTTATATTGATTGTATGTTATTCCCGTATTTGTCAAAGTAAAAACCGATGAACACAGCAAATTCAACTTTTAACAGGACGATTGTCATTATGGCAGCATTGTGAAACGTATTTATGACTTGTAAGAGAAAGTTCTTTAACCTTTATTGACAAATAGTTTATTCTTTAAGCATTATCTCATAGCTTCTCAGTGCTAATGATATAAGTAATCACTATTCTTCAAATATTTAAACATTTGATAGATTTTAATGTAAAGAATATTTTTCTGCTTGAATCGCTAAGAACTAAATGTTGTCAAACGTTGGTGATGTTAAGAACTGAAACAATTATGTTTATGACGTTGTAGTTCAATAATTTTCGTTAGATAATAAAATTGTAATAATCAACTGTTACAAAGAGAAATTGAAAAAAAGTTTTATTTTTTTTGTAGTTAAAAAAATGGATTAGCTATCAATGTTAATTTTAATTCATCTTATATTTTAGATATTTAACAAAGCGAAAATATTTTATATTAAATTAGTTTTCTATATAGAAATGTTGAAATTGATGTACTCTCTAACTAAATAATCATAGATAATAAGTAAAAAAGAAAGAAGAAAATAAATGATGAAAGTGAATATAAATAAAATAAAATATCATATATAAAAAGGTAATAATATGTTTTAGATTATTTATTCAAAAAGTATCTAAATTAGCTGAATAATAAAAAGTAAGAAAATTTTTTTAGAATAGAAATAGAGAATATGTCAATAATGTTCTCCATTGATAATATATATGTTAATCACTTGGTTATTAATGAAATAATCTGCTCAATGATCAATTATATATAAATATTTGATAAGATCGAAATGTCCATTAAAACAATGTTGATCTAATGCAGTTAATGGTACTGTTAGATTAATATGAATAGGTTTTGTGATGATATTGATGATCATCTTAAGAAGATTTTTGTCAATATCTTGTTTATATTCTACATTAAAAAAGAACATTTGCCATTTTTAATAAGATACTTTAAAACATTTCATTGATTATTTCTTGCTACACAATATAATAAAATTCTACTCAAAAGATAATATTTATCTTTAAAACTGAAGTTATTTTAAATAAAATCTTTAACATAAGGTAAATTTCCATTCCATACAACTGAAATATCATCAACTCAAGCGAAAAATTCTTTTAAGATGATGTTACAATAAATGAAAGAAGTTTCCTACGAGTAAAACGAGTTTTAAAATATTGATTTATTTAAGAATAATATTGATATTGAAAAATAAAATAATATATATTTGATATATTTAAGATAAACGTTCTAAATATTAATTTAATAATTTTTCAAATCTTGTTTTAAATTCATAAATTAATTCATTTTCTTTTTCATCTTATGTAAATTAATTAAGGTCATTATTTAATATAGAAGAGTAGTTTTGATTTGATTTATTAATATTTTAACTTTCTAATGATTCTATTTTAATTATTGTTTCATCATTTTTTTTTTCTTTGAAAATAATCTAAAATTTTTAGTCGTTTTTTTTCAGTATGATGACTTTATTAAACAATCAATCAAAACAAAAACGAAAATGAAATTTATATGTGAAAAACTAATACTAATATTCGTATGTTAATTTTAAAAACAAGGAGAAAATGAATATGAAGTGCCTTTTTAAATGGTTCTCAAAAATTATTTTATCATTCACGAAAAAAAAGAAGCCAATAATGTCAATTATGTTTTGTTACTCAATTTTCATGTTGATAACGATGAAAAGAAATAAAAATAAAAGGAAATTTTAGTCGATTTCTACATGCAATGCACTACAATCAATAACTTATTATAGTGATATTGATTTACTCTTCTAGATAATTTTGTCTTGTTCAATGATTAATCAAAGATGAACTAAATTATTTGTCTTTGTTTCAATACAAGTTAAAACATTTTTAGTTTTTTTTCATTTTTTAAGAAAATAATTATGTCTTTAATGAAAACTATGTCATGACAAAAGTATTGATCAGGCGTTGTGTCTAACTTTAAAGTTGAATTTTTCAATTTTTATTAAATTAAATGTAAATTTCAAGTTTGACATAGATAGTAAAAAAGGTAAATGCTCATATCAAATATCAACGTAACAATAACATTCTATCAAAACAAAAACCAAAGAACATAAGAAATTTAAAGAAATAATATAAAATCATTGATCAAATATGAGGAAAACACTTGAATAACTATTTATCATTAAGTCAAAAGATGATTTTCATGGTCCATTTTTAGAAATTATGAAAAAAACAAACATCATAATATGAAACTTGACTAATTAGTTAAGAGTCTTGAGTTTTTGAGGTAAAATTAAATATTTTCATATAATTCTATGTAATTATCTATATATTGTAAACGAGTCAATGACACCAATGAATTATAAAATAATTTAGTTTTACATGAATATGGCGTTAAATTTTCTATAATATAATCGATTATTAACAATAAGCGTCTATAAGAATTCATCTATGACTAATATTAACTAGAGACTATCAGATTTAATATGAATGCCCGCTAATTCCTAGTTTGTTGTAGCCTCTAGTAGTTGTTGGTGCAGATTATTTTATATTTTGAATTATTTTCTAATTGATATAAATCATCCAGTGTTTTAGATCTTTGATAAAGAAAGAATAGAATAAAATATAATATACTTTTGAATAGTAATCAGTGATTGATAATGACTGTTCAATTTTTCTGATTGATTTGGCACTGGTTGGTCGTTTTTCTATTCAGTTAAATCCGTTGACAAACGTCAATTAATTTCATGTTTTGGCAGATTTCACTGAACTTTCTTTTTTTATCTAATGAGAATATTTTAATGAGTTGATGCCTTAGTAAATCTAATGAAGATAATTATTCTAAAATATATCGTCTCGAATAATTATTGATAGTAATATAATTAAATGAGAAATATATTAAAATAAATGATATTCGATTTTATTTATTTATTTTTGAACACACATTTATTAATACAAAGAATTATCAAGCAGGTTTATATTAATATGATTTAATCTTAAATTAGGTTAACTTTTTAAGTTAAGGGATATATATATGAATGATTGGGTTATTTGGATAGAATTTCTTTAAATTAGTGTTTTCAATCAATATCTTCAGATGAAATATCGATTTGACGAAATACTTCATCGATAAATGATGCAGGTCTACCAGTTATATTATATTCATGTTCATTTGAATCTGAATTTGAATATGAATTTGAATTTGAATTTGAATTTGAATTTGAATTTGAATTTGAATTTGAATCTGAATCTGAATCTTCATCAGAATTGTGATCAAGATAATGTAAAGTTTCATAAATGGTTGGATCAGTTGAATCGGTTGAAAAGATTGATTCAGTTATTGATGTATATTCATAGTTATGTACTGTATGAATAGAAGTAAGATTTTGATATGGATAAGTAACCATTATTTCAGTGTGATTATAATCATATTGATCATAACATAGACTTAAATAAAGTTCTGGAAGTGGTAATGAACAATCATCAGTTGTTATTTGAATTTGAATATTTGTTTCTGTTTCGGGAAGAATATAGAAATATATTTCATCACCAGATGATGATGATTTATTTACTTTAACACATGTTTCATTAATATTAAATAATTCAAGAATATTTTTTGATAATGTTTCATTTTCATTTGAAATACATTCAATTAAACGATATTGAAGAGGTTCTTCAAAAATTGGTGCTCCAATAACATATAGACCAGAAATAAGCAAACATAAAACGATATACGACATATTTACTCTAGTCAGATAAATAATTCTTTATGAAATGTCTTAGCCGTCAACGATAGAGAATCCAACACAAGGAAAGAAAAACAGCTGTTGATATTATTTTATTAATAAATAGAAACAAAAACAAAGACTTTTCCAGTATTAATCATTCTAAAGAATATTTATTTCTGTGTATCATCATATGGAATGTATTATCAATAATACATATATATTTATCTTATCTCTGTTTTTGCTCTTCAAGCAGATGAAAAACAACGGAAGACAGTTAACTGCTGACTTAGCTTATTTATAGAATAGACTTTTACGTACATATAATCAAATAATTTCTATTCTATAGAGTTATATATTTATTTTTTTTATTTATGTAAATAATTAAAAATAAAGAGAATATTATCATATAAAACAGTTCTAATTATAAATCAAATATTTGTTTTTTGAAATATTCCAAGAATATGTAATAATAATTCGTTATAATAATATATTTTCATATGATATTAAATATAATCTATTTAAATAATAATTCAAGATGAAAAAGTCCGATTATCGTTGATTATTTATATTCATAGTTCGTAACCTTTTATTCATCTAATTCTAGTTTTTAATTGTCCATCTTTATATCATAACGATTTATCTTAGATAAAATCAAGTCTCAACTTAAATATGAAAATAATTTGTTAAAAACTGATGTAAACAGTGATGATAATTATGTGTCATTGATCGTTTCAAACAATATTTTTAGTTTTTTGTATATATGTATAGAGTGTATAGTTGCATTATCTAAGTCTAAAGAAAATCTTATTATCTAAAAGAAAAATTTCTATCTATAGAACATATAAATAATAGAAAAGAATAAAAGATGCCTTCAGTTTTCTAACAGTCGCATAATATTACCTTTTAAATATTTTTAGAATTAATATTTATTTATTTAATATTATATCGTCATTATAGAAATATTTATTATTTTATAAACTTAATTAATTAAAATCAAACAAAAAAAAAAGAAAAACTTTCTGATAGTTTAAAAAAGAAAAAATTATAGAACAAAGATTAAATTAGTTATTATTAAAATATTAATAGTTGATGATGAATATCTATTAAATTTTAATATTTAGAAAATTCTTTGAAATGATTCAATCTAAGAGAGATATTTAACTTGATTATAAATTTATACAAATATTGAACTATTAAGAACAGAAAAAAAGAATGAAGCGCAGATAAACTCAATTAGAAATAAATAGTCAGAAGTAATAAACTAATCAATTGAATTATTTACATAGACTACAATTATTTTTCTGTATTTTTTTATTAGTTTAATTAGTAATATATATTAATAAATGATTTCTTCATAATTATACTTTTCTTTTTTTTTGCAGAGATCATCACAAACATATTTTAATAGTCGAACATTTTTTACAAAAGTTTTTCTTTTTTCACGAACTTTTGCAACATTTTAAATATAAATAAGTTTTAAAGTACTCAACATAAGAAACCGATGGTAGATCTGATTTATAAATGAATGATGTATATCAATCGTCAAATGAATATCTTGCTTATTTCTCACATCTGAACAATTCAACAACTCACTTTTTTCTCAAGTTTCGTTGTTTGAAACTATTGAAATCTTCCTAAATTTTATTGGAACTCATAGAAATCTATTCAATCCAACAGAGATATGTTTCATTTAACTATGTTTGTTTTTTTTTTGTATTTCTTCTTCTCATACCTTTAGCTAATCAATTGTGATAGAATTGAAAAAAAAAGTCAGTCTACTTTAACCATTAATCTCTGTATGAAAATAAAAACAATGTTAACATTAGACATCTTCACACAACCGAGGAATTTTTTAAATAGTTGTTATAAATAATGTTCTTTTCTTAAACAATGACCATAATCATGAGCAAGCAAAAATTTTCTTCTATATTGTTTATGTTATAGAATTATGATGGAAAACAATAATCTATATTTATGATAAACACTAAAAATTTTTTCTCTATAGAAAAAGTAAATTGTGAAAAGAGGAAAATAGTAAGGGAAACAATAAGTTAAATTTTATTTTAATAATATAATCAAATCAAATGAGAAAGATAACTATTATCTTGTCAATTTAAAAAATTCTTGTTAGATTGTTTCGAACGAACTTTTTCTCTTTCATATCTATAATTAATTGATAAATAACATCCTTATAAAATTATTTTCATTTGATTATATTATAGAAAATAGAATCATCGATGTATACCATATTGAAAATAATGTCATCTTAATTTGAGAGTTGATTGACACAAGACGACTATTCCATAGATACGACCCTTATATTCCTTCAAATATTAAATTTATTCTGGTTTAGACTACAATGAATATCGTTACAGAGATTATTGGCAATTGTAAATAGTTTGTCATCTTGTTTATTTTTAACCTACTTAAATAAATAGTATTAAATAATCAAAATATTTCTTTTTTCTAAATCTAATGTTTTGAATAATAAAAAGTTTTTCGAAAAATTGATTATTGTGAAATAATTACTCAATAAACAATGAAGTTTTTCGTTTCATAAGAAACATATTGATACAGTTAATAGTTAAAATAATTTAAAAATCTTTCAAATAGATTCAAAAACAAAAATAAATAATTAATTAAACATAGATTTATCTATTGATATTGAAAACATTAATAATAACGAATAATATCAATAACAACAATTAATCTACATTAAAACAACTAGCGGAGATACCCGATGTATGGAGATGATACGATAGCATATATCTCACGGATGATAATACGATGTTGCCACTGTCCTCAACAGCTATTCATCTGCAATATCATAAGCTACACTCGAATCTTTTCTTTTTTAATTTTAATATTTAACATATTAAAGCCGTTATAGACTTTTTTTCTTTTTTATATTTTTATTGATGAACTTCTTCCAAGCAAAAAAACAGCAAAATAGAATTTTTCATTGTAAAGCTGTTTTGTACACGATGTTCTTCGTTTTTCCATCTGGAGCAAAAACATACAAATTCTTTCCGGTTCCTACTCTCGAGCATGCCACATAAAGTTGACCGTGAGAAAAGCAAGGAGTTTCTAAATTGACACCAGCAACTTTAAGTGATTGCCCTTGGGCCTTATTAATAGACATTGCGAAGGCAAGCCGTACTGGAAACTGAAGTCGTGTAAATTCAAATGGCATATCAGAAGGGAGCAAAGGTATTTTTGGTATGAATACATCTTCACCTTTTGCACAACCTGTCATGATCGTTGCTTCGATTACATGAGGCATTAGAGTTTTGACACATAGCCTTGTACCATTACATAATCTTGGTGCATCCAGATTTCTTAGGAGCATAATAGATGATCCAATTTTCAGACGCAAGTTATGTGGTGGCATTCCAGAAGGTTCGAGTGAATTGAGAAACTCAGTTGGATACTGAACTACCATGTCGATATCTTTAACTGTATCAATTGATTTGTAAGATATAGCTTCACCTGGAAGCTGTTGCTGAATTTGTAGATTCATGGCATTTACGTTGACGTTTTTCGGAGCCAGAATAGCACGTTCACATAACCATTTGTGATCCTTGTAGTGAGTTTGAATGTTTGGAAACACTTTACTCTTGAGTTCTTCGACTGATTCAACGATATTACAAAAGTTGTCTGAAATATTAATAAGTCCACTGACTGGGTCAGCAGGTATTTTGCCGTTTCCAATCGCGAGAAGTTGTTCAGCGAAACGGCCGGCAGACACGTCACCTTGTAAGTGCACTCTCATGTTAGTACTGAGTTTTAATGATGCAACATGTCTCCAAAGATACGAAGATTTCAAGCAAGCTTTAAGCTCATCAGCCATGGTACCCTTTGGAATAACTGGTAATGTTTGCCTAAAATCGCCAGCAATAAGTACAACTACTCCACCCATATTCTTTCCATTGTTACGAAGATCCTGTAAAGTATGGTTCAAAGCTTCTAATGCATACCTATGAGCCATTGTGCACTCGTCCCATACAATAAGTTCACATTCTTGCAGAACCTTTGCTTCGCCAGTTCCTTTGGTAATACTACAGAGATGAGTTTGATTTTCCAAAAGCTTAAGAGGTAACTTTAATGTCGAGTGCGCAGTACGACCACCGTGAAGCAGCGTAGCAGCGATACCGGAAGAGGCGACCGCAATCGCAATCTTTGACTGATGCCGGATTTTAGCCAATAACAAATTAATGACAAATGTCTTCCCTGTTCCACCAGGTGCATCAAGGAAGATTATTCCACCAGCTTTCTTCTCGATCTGATTCAAAATCGCATTGTATGCAGCTCTCTGATCCGGCACCAACAGTGGCTCATTTGCTGTTATATAAGCATCCAACTCTTTCACATCATAACTTGTTTCTCTGAGCATTGCACTGTTTAATCGATCACCCGAATTTCGTTGAGGAGTTGGGAGCTCTAATTTCTCAAGTTCTTTGCCACCCATCTCTAAAACTTTATTTTCAATAATAATCAGTGCTTGATTAAACATATCTGGTGTATAATCCAAATTCATTCCAGGATTTTGCCTGCGAGCATTTCTCAGAATGTCTTCAGTCAAGCTTTCTTTTTGTACGACTCCCATAATTGTTTTGGATTGGATGGTCCACAAACAGCTAGTATAAGAGCAAATAGATTTCTTAATCTTGCTGGCGATTGAGCTGCAGCTGCTTCGGACATGGTGGAATCCCATTGCTGATCATCTTCCAGTAATCCATGTAATTGACATGCTTCACGAAATGTTGCACAGATCTGACTGTTTGCAGTTCGAAGAGCTTCAAATGAAGTAGGGCCTCTGACCACATGAAGTAAGAGTCGTAGGAAAAAGCATTCGAAATTATTAGGATGCACAGTGTAAACACGATCCAACGCATCTCCTTCTCTAATGTCTGGATGGCCAAGCACAGCAGTTCCTTGAACACGCCGCTTAAACACTTTTTCAGACGCGTTCCATGTGTAGTATTTTGGAACATCACAGTACAACAGCGTTT